CACACACACACACACACACAGACACACACACATATTAATAATACATTTTAAAACAGTATAAAGTATAAGTATAAAGGATTTGAAATATAGTATAAAACATTATAAAATGAAAAAGTACAAAAATATATTTTAAAACGAATTTTAACTATAAAAACCTTAAAATATACTATAAAAAAATAAATACATTATAAAACATTATGAAAATGATGGTATTAAAAATACAAAAAGCATATTTATAAGTAAAACTATAAAAATGAAAAGCTTAAAATACACTAAAAATATAAATATAAAAAATTTAAATATAAAAAAAATTAATACAGTATAAAACATTATGAAAGTTATAGTATGGAAAAGTGCAAAAGGCATATTTTTAAAAGCTTAAAATATACTATAAAACATCATAATATATGTATACACACACACACTACAGCAGCAGTATTTGTGTATAATTTCGGAGCAGCTCTCAAAGTTATCAGAGATTGTATTGTGTCCTGTGCACAGGCAGATTTATTCACTAGTTTTAAGTAAAAACGGTTAGCGCAGCTTTTATTAAAGCTCTTCGAGAGGAAAAAGCACACAATCAGAGGGAAGCTTTGCATTCAGATGAACGTCTTTGTGCGGCTGACGAAACAATAACGCACAGAAACGATAAGCCTGCATACCTCCAACAAAATAATTCACTTTCAAGGCTACAACTCATTTTTCTCTGTACGTCTGTGTTTCTTTGTCGCTGGACTTCCATTAAGCTCAGCAAAGAGGGAACAAAGACAGGAGAAAAATCCCACGAGTCTGACAGAAAAACACTAGTTTCTGCATCCGCCGCTGCGCTGAAACACATTTGTTAAACATGTAAAGTACGACTGATGGCTGTCGGGCCCAAGCTGTCACACACACACACACACACACTTACATACACACACACACACACACACACACACACACAATATACACATGATTACGGTGGCCGAGAGAGCTCAACGCACTGCAACTTAAGAAAACACATGCAAATTGAAAAAACACCAGCAAATTAAGAAAACATCTTCATCAGTTTG